TGTTTTCTAATCTACAGATAATTAGTGAAATCTAATAAAAGGTAGTTAATTTACATGTTAACCATAATAAAACTAAAAGCTGGAAAACTGTAAACTGTCTTTTTTATGAATTACACATTTTTTCTGGCAATTGTTTAGGTGTATTTAAATGACCAAAAAATGTCTCATTTAATTATTTTACAAATATTTGCTGTTTGAAGAAAACATATGACCATTAAGGACTGAAAAATGGAGTAAGAAAAAAGATTTTTTTTAAAAAATAAATAAAATTAAACCGTTATAATTACAGGAAAAAAAATGTATAGGTTGATTGTTTAAAAAATACAAATAAAAAATTGTGAAATTGTGCATAATGTTCAAAACAAAAATCTTTGTTTCACTTTTTTTTCTATTTTACAATGTATGACCATAAAATCAGTTTTGTCAGCTAAAATCATTTTTTAATCTTTAAAAAAATTCATTTGTAAGGTCTTCACCTTACTATGTGAAGTACTATGAGATGAAATGAAATGAAATGAATGAAAAATACTTTATTCATCCCAGAAGGGAAATTCAATCCTGTAAAAACTCACCTTTCTTTTTTTTTTTCTTCTTTTTTTTCTTTTTTAAATCAATATAACATATATTATATACAAGAATAATAATCATTCAGTCAGTTGGATGGAGATGACATATATCATGACTTTGTGCTATATAAATAAAATCAAAGAATTAAATTACTAAAATATATATTTTTAAAAAATGTTTTGCCTTCATTGTCACTGTTTTTTGGTGCAACAATACTTTATTGGGTTTTTTTGGGGCACATTTGCTGCTAGAGTTTCACTGCTTTTTTGACAGATTTTGCTTTTTGTGTGTTTTGTTTTTTTTTACAGTGTGCGTGTTGAGGCACACATATCAGATAAGAACTACAACTGAGGAAGCACCCGGTTCATGATGATATTCATAATGCATCTTTAGACATGCACAGAGTCTCCATGTTCTTTCCTCCCACTCCTCGTCTCCTTCTTCCCTGTCTCCTCTCTCTGATAGCTGTTATTAGTTTGGTCCTCTCCTGTTTTGGGGCGAGATAATCACACAGCGCTGGTTTCTGGACGCTGAATATCGGTGTGTGTCTGTGTGCGTTATGTGTGCGTTGCTGCTCCCTGTCATTAGGCAGCGAGTCTCTGTGGTTAAGATGACACAGCTTTGACTGTTTGAAGCGCTGCCAGCTTCACCATCTGATCCCAGATCTGCCTCCAGCCCTCAGAGCTGCAGCTCAGCGTTGGTTTTCCCTCTCAGCTGTCAGAGTGGAAGCTCTGTGGCACGTAGTTGTCCATCACCGATTTTCAGGTCCACAGTTAAGATCTAAAAGTAAAAGAAATGTCGTGGTCCCAATGAAACAACTTTTTAATCTCATTTCTATGTGATGTTTCTGTATCTCTTTGTAGTGTGTTTTTGTGGTCATTTCACTCCTTGTTGTGGTTGTTCAACATCTTCTTTGTGTCTTTTTATGGTCTTTGCTTTGAAGCTTGTAGTCATTCTATGTCTTCTTATGATTGCTGGTCATTTGTTTCTCTGGAATCTTTTTTTGCATCTCTTTGTGATAGTTTGATATCTCTAGTAGTCATTTTTAACTCTTTGTGGTCATTTTACACCACCTTCTCGTTCTTTGTAGTTCCTTTGGTGGGTTTGTGGTCATTTAATGTCTCTTTGTGCATTTTTACATCTGCTGTGGTCCTTTTTTTTATAATGATTTTATGGCTCATTTTGTATCTTTATGGAGTTTTGTGTCTTCGTAATTATTTTGTGTTTTTTGTGGTCGTTCGACAGCTTGTTGTGGTTGTTCTACATCTCTTTGTGGTCACTTTGCACAACTTTACATGTTGTTGTGGTCCTTTTGTGTTTTTTGATGTGTCTTTCTGGTTGTTTTATTTCTCTTTGCAGTTGTTTATCATCTCTTTGTGGTAGTTTTGTGTCTCCTAGCAGTCATTTTGTGTCTCTTTGTGATTATTTAACTCCTTGTTGTGGTTGTTTAACATCTCTTTGTGGTCATTTTGTGGCTTTTTATGGTCTCTGCAGTTACTTTGGGGCTCTTTGTGGTTCTTTATGTCTCTTGTAGTCGTTCTTATGATTGCTGGTCACTTGTTTCACTTCGCAGTTGTTTTATTTGTCATCTCTTTGTGGTAGTTTTGTATATTTTAGAAATCATTTTTATCTCTTTGTGGTCATTAGACACCTTCTCTTGGTTGTTATAAATCTTTTGTATGGTCTTTGCAGTTCCTTTGGGTGTTTTTGCATTAATTTAATGTGTCTTTGTGGTCACTTTGTGTATCTTTACGCCTGTTGTGATCCTTTTCATAATAGTTTTGTCTCATTTTGGTTGTTTTGCATGTCTTTGTAGCCACATTGTGTGTTTTTGTGGACATTTTACAGTTGCACTGGAGCTCTTTGTTGTGATTTATTCATCTTTGTGGCAATCAGGTTGTTCTACATCTCTTTGCGGTCCCTTTGCACATCTTTACGCATTGTTGTGGTCTATTTGTGTTTATTTAGTTTGATGTCTCATTTTCTCATGTCGTCTTCTGTCTTATCATTTAATGTGTCTTTCCAGTTGTTGTTTTTTTTCTCTTTGCAGTTGTTTTGCATCTCTTTGTGGCTTTTTGTGTCTCTTAGTAGTCGTTTTGTGTCTCTTTGTGGTCATTTCACTGCTTGTTTTGGTTGTTTACCATCTCTTTGAGGTCACTTTGTGTCTTTTTGTGGTCTTTTCAGTTGCTTTGGGGCTCTTGATGGTCATTTAATGTCTCTTTGTATATCTTTATGCTTTTGTTGTGGTTTTCATGTCTCTTTGTCGTCGTTTCTGTGTTTTATACCAGCAGAATCCTCAATCTTGGATTCCATTCAGTGGTTTCTCATAAAAAGTTTCAAAATCCCTGTCCTTTCTGTTTTGTGGCTGACATGAAGGTCAGCAATGAGAATTCACGCTTGAAGCTCACGTGAATTCAAAAGCTGACTAATCATCGTTATAAGACACACAAAAGGACGTTTAGAATCGATCTACACCGTCAAATCTGACCGTGTGTTATCATCAGGTCAAACCCGGTTTCACAGAGATGTAATGTAACAGCCTTGTTACGTTTCTGGTCACCTGATATCCTGGAAAATGAGCAGATTTTACTGAAGAAAAGCTTCCCAGTCCTCTCAGACTGAGCCTCACAGTGTCACTGAGGCTACGGCCTTTATCAGTTCATGATTTAGTTTCACAGCTTTCACATTTCTCAGGAGGGAAACGATAAAATAAGAGATTCTACTGTCTTTCTTCATAAATGTCATGCTCTTGTTGAAAGGGCTGCATGTGGATGCGAACCACATGATCAGGCAGAGATCAGGAAATGTCCTCATTTATCCTAAACGAATTGAAGAATGCAGCTTCTATTTTCATCCTCATTTGTCCTTTTATTATCTTTTTCTCCTCCATCTCTTTGTGCTTCATCATCCACGATTTGATCTCTTTCAAATAGTTCCATGAAATACTCACTAGGTGGCGATGTAGTTTTAGATATCTGCATGATCAGAGGCTCTCTTTTCTGACAGACAAATTATCAGTTTACAGCAAAGAAATGATGTGAAAATACTCTGTGAAGCTCTTTAATGTCGGCAGCTGGCTCATTTTAAACTTCAGAGAACACACTGAGGGACCAGACTCACTTTCAGCGGTAGTGCGGCGATTATAAAAGCAGACACACTTCCAATCAAATAGCAATTAAAGAAAAAAAGGGGAAAAAATAGAAACAACAAAACCAAAAATTAAACACTAAAAAAACAAAATAATAATAATCCCACTAAAAGAAATAATTAAATATGTTTAATGTTGTAGGCCTGAATTTAGAAGATTTCTAATCTTGCTTTAAATGATAAAAATAATGTTGATTTTTTTTTAACCTTTAAAAAAACAAACAAACAAAAAATTCCGTTTACTTCGGATAAATTTTTTTATTTCATGTTTTACAAGATTGTTTAATTTCTTATTCATTATAATTTGAGCAAAATGTGTCTTTTATCTGCTTTTCTGAGTGCTTTCTTGCAGTAAACTTGAATGTAGAATATTTCTGGCTTTATTAGCTGATAGACTATCAGTTAGCTGACTTTAAATGATAAAACAAGCTTGACTAAATCGTGATTTTATGGTTTTAGATTTTTTACCAATCATTAAGTAGTTTGGTTCCAACATAACAGATGACCAAAGTTTGGCCTGTTTCTAATCAAAAATGCACAAAAAAGTGTAAAAAAAAAAAGTAAGCTAAGATAGGACATACCAGACTAAACTGAAATTTAATTTAATTTAATTTAATGAAGTGTATTTGATTGACTTTGTGTGTCTTTTACGATACTATTTAATTTCCTATTAATTATAATTTGAATAATATGATGATGTTCATAATGAATGTGTCACTTAGTCTTTTTTCTTCTGTTGACTAAAATTTAGAAGATTGAAGTAGAACAGCCAATAAACTGTCAATATATTGGAAAATAAACAACAAAATAATAATTTTACCTTTTTAGATGTTATGGCTTTACTGGTTTCACAGAGTTTATTTTTTTAATGTATTTTTTAAGTGTCTTATTATTCTAGAATGTAGTTGTATTTATTGTGTGTGTGTGTGTTTTAAAATGACGTGTATTATTAATAATAATTTAAGCAAAATGTGTCACTTTGTGTTTTCTCTTCTTAGTTTATAATGACTTGTCTCCATTTTTTAAAAATATCTTTAACTTCCATTTTGTTGACCTTCAGGAATGCTCTTTTGTTTTTAGTGTGAATTTTGCTGTTATTTTACTTCCTGCTGTTTTCACATCCATCCCTGTATTTCCTGCTCTGACCTCCTCCCTCCCAGACAACACCCCTCCGTCTCTCCATTAAGAAAAAAAGCCTCCCTCGGCTGTGGGCGTGGCCTCACCGACGCGCGCTCCCCCCCCCTCTCCACCTTCCAGGCGCGCTCCCGCCGCTGCTCTCCGTCCGTGGTGCCAGCAGAGGAGCAGCTCGGTGCGTAAAGTTGATCCTCTCCGGCGGCGTCGTGCTGTTTTTTCCTCCGCGTCCTCTCCGCTCCAACATGCCTCTCCTCCGGCTGCAGACATGGACTCTATCCGCTCCGAGTGGACACTAACCGGCTGCGCTGCTGCTCCTGTCCGCCCTCTGCGCTCCATAAGCCGGGGAAACCCTGCAGCGCGTCTCTGAGCCTTTTTCTTTAAAACAAAAAAAACGACAGCACCCAACACCACACCTTGTTACCTTTCCGTTTCCTGACGCTTCATTTATGGACTACAGAAGCTCCGAGTGAGGAGAGTCTGTACTGAACGTTCACACAGCCGAGGATGGAGACGGTGATGGAGAGGGAGTGCAGCGCGCTGGGGGGGCTTTTCCAGACCGTCATCGGAGACATGAAGGTAAAAACCAGTCATCACTTCATCTGATTTCAAAAATGTGCACATGAAATATCGACATCGCCCTGCAACAGATCCTGCTGCAGGCTTCCAGATCTGCAGACCCTGTTGCACAAAAAGAAAGACAAAACGCAGCAGCAGTCGTTCAGCTTGTCGCTTTATTGGAGATTTGCAGGCGACATCATTAATTTGCTAATTATCCAGGAAGGGGGGGAAGGGATGTGTTCAGGCTCTGGTGGCTTAATTTCCAGGATCCTGCAGATTTCTCCTTAAAAAAAAGAAAGGTAGCCTGTAAAACTGCAGGCTGCTGCAGGGCTCAGTGACAGTGTTGCAGTGACACTGAAAGCACAGATCAATCACAGAAACACTGAGTCTATGAGAGGAGTGCTAATGAGGAGGCAATCAGGGTTTTCCTTACACATCTTGGCTGCCTATAATAGACAGAAATCTGATATTAACCTCTTAGAAAATGCATGAAATCATAGAGTAGTAACTTTACATGTCACTAAATTCAAAATCTTTTCCCTCAAAAACATCAAAGCAATCACTTTTATTCTGCAAAAGGTGCAAATTCCTTTTGTAATGTCAAGTAAAAGATGCCAGTATTGTTCATTGTAGCTTCTTAAATATGAGAATTTGCTCTTCGTGTAAATTTTAAAATTGTGTTAAAGTGAATATTTTGGATCCTAGTTGATAAAACAAGCAATTTGTAGATTTTGGGAGATTGTGACTGACATTTTCTACCATTTCTCTGAGGGCCAAAAAAATGTAACATTAGCTAAAAGCAGCCGCAAATGTACACTTTGAATATCAGATGTAGACATGAGACGAGTAATTTGGTTGTCATTTGGTGTTTTGTTCTGAAATTTCAGTGGATTTCTGGTGTTTGTAGGCGACAGTGACCTCTGGTTAGTTTGGGTCACTTTTGTAACTGGCAGCTTTGTGTTCCACAAGCATTTACCACACCAACTATTACATCGAATAAGTAAATAAAAATGAATAAAGACAGCATTTTATAGCCAGCACCCTGCTGTGTTTATCCATCTCTGCTGCTGTTGGGTCGCTTTTGTTTTAAACCTTCTGAGAAAAGCAACTGTTCGGAGCACAAAAATTAACCAAAAACGTTGGTTGTGCAGACAGTGTGTGACCTGCATCTGCTTTTAAATCTGTTGATTGCAGAACCTCGACCGCAGCTCACAATCTGTAACTCTGCAGACTAATGACAGGAATGACAGACCCGACATATCGCATCTGTTTATCGATGATTAGATTTTATTAAAGGTAAAATAAAATCAACAGGGTGGGGCTCAGTACAAATAAGCTAATAAGCGGAATAAGTTTAATTAATGGAACTACATGACAGTCAATGGAAAGCGATGGTACCTGACAGATGGCAAACTGGGCAGTGACAGTCAGTGTTACAGACAGCTGCTGCTATGAACACAATGAAACATGAGCCTTTTTTTGCTCGTATTACATTTTTACTCACTGTGGGCTCATTTTTCACTGCAGTATAAAATCCTGCACCTCCATGGAAACAGAACAACCATGACTAGAAGCAGAACTGTGCCTGTGCAGTATAATAATGTTAAAATAGCTTGAATAAATTTTAAACAGAACAAAATAAATTCTGTATTTATTTATCAAAAATTGGTTTTAAAAACAACAAACAGGAATCAATATTTTTTCAAGTGCTCACAGACATATATATATATGTGTATATATATGCTTACATTTTAAAGTAGTTTCCACACTTGTCTTCTCTCTGCTCCGTGGAAACACAGCCTGCAGTTCAGCTGAAAAGTTTCTGAATTTTTGTCTTGTGGCTGCTGGTCACCGCTGAGTCACTAATGGCTTCACAGTTGTAGTAAATAGTGCAGAATTCTTAGTTTTTTACAGAATCTGGTGACTGCAAAGGGTTCACTTTTGGTCAAACATTAACTGAGACACGTAGGAAAAAACATGAATCTAAAATATGATTTTAGGCTGAGGGCTGGCACAGATGTGATGTTCAAGGACTGTTTTAAAACTGAAAATTTACTCAATATACATGTTAAATGGTGTAAATTAGATTTTTATTAATTTACTTTGTTAAAAATACATTAAAAACAGCCTTTTGCTCTATAGTTTAATGACCATTTCAGGTGAAGAATATAAATCTTGATTTGCTGTTGAGTCAGACTCCTGAGTTCGACTCAGCAGGAGGTGATGCAGCTTTTCATGGTCCCTGGTGGATAAAACAAACATCTGCAGTTTGTTCTGCTTTGAAACCGAGTGTGATGAAGTAGTGAGCGTGTGAAGGCATCAGATGCAGGTGAGTCAGTCTCAGATCAGGGTTTTGTCCGTGCAGGTTCATATCTGCTGAAGCTGCAGCGTCCACACAAAGCCAGTGCTGGGGGAGGGGCCTCACACACCTGTTTCCATGGTGACATAATAACAGACAGGTGGTTTCTAACAGGTGCAGTTGTTGCTTCACAGGAGGAGGTCTGGAAAATCAGCCACACCCGCTACTTGTCTTCTTTCTATCTGTTTCTTCTTGTCTTCCTCGTCTTTCCTCTACTCGTTTCCCATTATTTACTTCTCCACCGCCTTTTCCTTTATTTTTTTTATATCGCCGCCTCTCTTTTTTTTCTTGTCTATTTGCCACTTCTTATTCCTCTTTTCCTCTTTCATCTGTCTAACCATTGTTTTCCTCATCTTCCGCCATCACTGTAACAAAAGTAAGTAAAATAAAACTGTAAAAATCTGGCAGCAAGGAAGCCAGAAAAATAACAACTACTATAGCTGGTTTGTATAATGACTCATCTTAAAAGTGAATCATTTACCAGACACACACTGTAAAAAATCTAAATACTATTTGTAAAATACAGACTTTTAAGATGCCTGTTATTTACAGTTTGGCCCTGTTTTTTGTTTGTTTGTTTGTTTTGATTTATTACATTGAACAAGCAAACTAATAAACTTTTCTGTGATTTTTATTGGATAATATCTGTATTTTATTTTATTTTTTAAACAAACTGGAATTATATGCAGTAAAAAAAAATCAATAAAAGGAGTTGGAAGCGAACAAATGACCATTTATAAACTAAAAAATGTTTATTGTGGAACTTATTGAAAGTTTGGCCTATTTTTGTTTTTTTTTCAACATTTTTTTTTATGTGATTTTACTTATTTTTAATTTAACAAAACAGGGTAAATATGTGCAATGAAAGAAAATTGTGAAAAAAAAAATACTGTGTCCTACTTTGAGCTCTTCACTATTCCATATTTTTCCTCTTCTGCCTCTTCCTCTTGTCTTTCACTGACCTTCATCTCCTTGTCAATATTTTTTTTTTGTTCTTCTTTTTCCTCCCCTGCCTCCTCATTCTCCCTCCCTCCCTCTGCTTTCCTTCATTTCAGACATCTTCCCTAAATCAGCTGAACTTGTGCTGGAACAGATGCGTTTGGTTTTGCAACAAGCTTGTGCGCTCAGATCTGCAAAGGAGGACTTAAATTGGGAAAAACGCTTCAATACTGTGGTTAAATGTGGCTGTGAAGGTTCATATCTGCTGCCTCGACCTGCTTATTTCATTGGCTGCTGCAGATTTGAGGTGGTTGTGCTTCAGTGGTGTCTTGGTTATTGTTCCCTGTGATTCAGTTTGTTATGTATGAGGCGTTTTTTTATGCAGTAATAATGGATAGATGAGGAGAAGGGCTTGTCTTAATTCTTAGCAGCCAGCGCTGTGCTGTATTTGTACTGCTTGGTGGGAAGTCACCTCTCATGAAGTCACTGTTGAAGCAGTTTGTTTTTCATACGTCAGAATCACTGATTCTAACTTCTTCTCAGGTTTGTTGATTAAAGAGTCTAAGACAGATTACATGTTGGTCCTCAGCCAATCACAGCCTATCGTCTTACACGACCTGAGTGATGTCATCAGGAAGTGGTGCCAGTGAATGACTACCTTAAAAAGCCCATAATATGCTTTTTGGGTTTCTGCTTCCCTTTCAGTGTGTTATTTAGCTGCTTTTTGGTCTGCAAACGTATAGTCCACACCGATGGGAGTCGTTCTGTCCCACAGATGACACTGCTCCTCAAACGCCTTGTATCAATTTGTGTTTCTTTCGTTACACGGTAAAAAAAAACAAAAACAAAAAAAACCACAACTTTTGAAACTGTTTTTATATGTAGTTTCTTTTAAATGAACTATTATTTTACCAATTTTTACTGTTTTTCTAAATTGCAGATAACCAGAAAATAAAACATTAAAAAAACATAAAGCTTACCAGTTTAAAAAAAGAAAAAAAATCTGTATTTTTGCGAATACTAACTCGTTTAGAGCAGGGGTGTCGAACTGCGGTCCTCGAGGGCCGCAATCCTGCATGTTTTAGATGTTTCCATTCTTCCAACACAACTGATTCAAATGATCAGCTCATCATCAAGCTCTGCAGAAGTCTGATAATGATCCTGATCATTTGAATCAGGTGTGTTGGAAGAGGGAAACGTCTAAAACATGCAGGATTGCGGCCCTCGAGGACCAGGATTAGACACCCCTGGTTTAGAGTGTGTACAATGTAAAATGTACTGTTTTACTGTATGTAGTTAAGCAAGAAATGTCATTGCTTTACAGACATTTGCTCTTATTTGAAAAAGAAATTATCTATAGTTGGAAAACTTAACCAAATCTAAGCTTAAAACGAGGATAGTTCATTAAAATCCCTTAACTATGCATATCTCAATTAAAGTTTTGCCAAAATACATCCGTTTGCTTTCACAAGATTCTGTACAAAAAAAAAAAAAAGCATTTCTCGGCACAAGCATGACACCATTAGTGGTTCAGATGTACGCTTGTGACAAAAATTCAGGGACTATTAGGTTGAACTGCAGGCAGCAGAGAGGAGAAAATAACATTCTTCAATAAATTATTGGCCAAAAAGATGCAGTTTGGTTGCACTGTTTCCATAGAGGTACATGACACTATATCGCAGTGAAAAATTGAACCCATAGTTTATAATAATGGGACATA